TTGGTCGATTTAAATCGAATTTTTGAAAATTGAAAAGCTGTATTGTTTGACCATTTTTTGCCCACTTTTGCCCAACAATTAGTTTTTTTTTTGCTTAATCACAAGAGAAACGTTTGCCCACATTTTAGAATTTTGAAAAAGTAAAAACTTTAGAAACTTAAGTTTTCATCATTTTTTACCCAAGAAAAAATCGTTTGCCAACTGCATAAAATAGTTAGCATTTCTTATTTAAAAAAAAAAAACATTTATTTGCCGTTGGCAAATTCATTTTTCTTGGCTAAATAATTATGAAAACTTAAAAGTTTTTTATTTTTTTAGATAATTAAATTTTAACAAGGGCTTTTTTTAAATTTTTTCCAATAAAAAGAACTATTATTAATGATCAAAAAATTCAAATTTGAAAAACTTGATTTTAGTCGACCGACCCAGCTTCTTTGAGATGGGGTGTAGGGGAGAAAAAGCATTAACTTATAAAAATTAAAAGATAAATAACTTCAAAATCCCAGTTGAAAACATTTTGGAAAAGTTAAATTTGATATTTGATTTTCCTTCACAAATAATTTAGTGATAAATAACGGACAAATCCGATAAAAACATTTTGCAAAAGTTCAAATTTCGTAGGGTGTCCTTCTAACTCGATATTAAGTTAGTTTATTGATTTAGTCGAAAGCTTAATAATGTTTGTCACAAAATTTGATATCAGACACTTATAAAGTTGAATCGTCACTTTTTCTCCTCGTTTAAAGGTGTATTGGTTTGATTAGTACATAATTAAATTTTAACAAAAAAGGAAGCAAACTTCGGCTAGCCGAAGTTCATAATGCCCTTGCATCTATTGCAAAAATTAAATATTTTTGAAAACATTAAAATTATCATTTACTTGCGTATATGTTTCAAAACATTGAAGCTATGATGATTTGTAGTTCAATTATTCGATAGTCCCTATGGCAGCTATATGATATCGTTTTCCGATTTTCAACAAAACTAAAAGCGTAATTCTGAACTGTCAAATTATTAATATGTCAAAAAGAATTTTAAAAAATTACAAAAAGAAAAGTTACATTTAAAAAAATTATTTTTTTTTTATATTTTTGTTGTTTTTATGGAAGCTTTATGTTTTAGTCGTCCAATTTTGATGAAATTTTTACGGTAATTCTGAAATATCTAAGCATTACAAAATGTCGAAGAACTAAAAAAATTATTTAAAAACAGCAATGTTATATTACACATACTTTATAGGGTCGGACATGTCTCTTTCATTGCGTTGCAAACTTCTGACTGAAATTATAATACCCTCTGCAAGGGTATAATATATAGATTATTCTAGCACCAATTAACATTTTCATTGTTTTTTCCAATATAAATACCTCAAAATAGAGCACAAAACCAAAAACAAAGAAAAAAAAACTCATACTTGCAGTGCGTGCATTCATGTGTGAGCGTGGAAGGGGAGAGTAACGAGGGGGAGTATGAAGCGATTAGAACGCTCGTCTAAGTTCAAGGCCAAGCATAAGTAGCGAAGGAAGCAACAACAAAAGTGAAAAAACAACAAATACAGCGCGAAAGCGATAGGAAAAAGAAGCAAGCGCAGCTGAAACAAGAAGAAACGATATAGTCGAGTGCCCCGACTGTTGAATACTCGTTACTTAGCAAACTAATTTTGAAAATGCTCCTGAATATAGTCGGGTTTTAAGTTACCCCGTCTGACCGGCAGACAGACGGATTTGGCTGGATCGACTTGGCTATTATGCTGTTCAAGAATATTTTATAAGCTTGAAAACACTTCCTTTTATTTAGTACATATGTACGTTTTTAAAGAATACAAAATATCCTTTAAATTTAAAAGTAACGGGTATAACAAGTGCACACAAAATCATTTGACTGAATGTGTGTGTGATGTTTCGCAGCAAAAAAGGTCAATGACACCTGTCGTTTTGTCTCGCTCGCCTCACACACACAGGCTTATCACCGGCCACTCTCTTTCGGCTATAGTGCCCTCTCATTCTAGCCTGTGTGCAGCTAGGTTTAGACATGTGGTCAACGCATTTTCGGATTTTTTTTTAGTTTTGGTTGTTATTGTTTTTTTCTTTCGCTGCTGTTAATCAGTGTGGCCAAATTATGCGCCAAAACTGCCAACGAGTTACTGGTCATACGTCATAAACAATAGCACAAACAATTTCCTGTTTTTTGCCATACCATAAAAACCAATATCAAGAATAACATACACGAAAATAATATAATAAAAATACTCACAAAAAACAACAAAAAATTGGCCCGGGTTCCGTCATCGCCTCATCCTCTATAGTTTTCATCTGTGTATCTGTTTTATTTTGGTTCTATTTCCACAATTTGTTTTTGCGGCGACTTATTTTTGTCGCAAGCACGTATACAAATGCTCGCACTCATACCACATCAGGCAGGCAAACTCGATTTAAAAATAAATAAATTACGCACAAATTCAAATACATTGAAACATATTCCTCAGGCCTCGTCAAAAATATAGTATGATTAATACAAAAATGCGCAATTCGCGGTTAGTTTTTTTGTTTCGGTTTCGCTGTTGATTTTAACCCCACCTCCTCATTTTTTGTCTTTTCTCTCTTATTATACAATAATAACTCGAATATAATAAGAGCACAGCAAGTGGGCAGTCCAACGGGAACTTGAACAGCAACAACAAGCGCAGCGCACGCCAATTAGTGCTTATGTTTTTTAATTAGCAGGCGGACCCATCCTCACATTTCCCACTTTTCCACCCCCAACGCCAGTTATTTGTATAATTTTTTCCTATTTTTCACAACGCATGACTTCATTGGAGTGCGATTAACGGATAGGATATATTGTTATATTGCCGTTGTTGATACAGCTTTATATTTAAAGGCTCTAAATCTATTGTGATGGTATCAAAAAATCAGCTAAGTGATCCGTTGTTCTCTTTTCTAGTTTTGCAAAAAAAAAATTTTAAAAAATAGGATAATTAAATTTGGGTTTTTAAAATAAAACTTGAAATAATAACGGTTCTGATTTTGTGTGCTACAACTAAAAGTACAATCGAACCTATAATCATATTTAAATATCTACTTCTCGTTTTAAAATGAAAAATGAAGTAGACAAGTTTATAAAAACATTTAACTTACATTGGATTAAGTTTTGCTATGTTCAAAAAATCTCAACAAATATGGTTACATTGAAAAAGGTCAGTGGTGTTGAAAAATAAAAAAGAAACAGAGGTAAAAAATGCCCTGTCATGACTTTGAAGTTAATTAAAAAAATTTAACTATTCGTTTTTTCCAAAAATCCAATTAACTAAAATGGTTTTACCGAAACCTTGAAATACCAACAGGTAAGAAAGAACTTTTTTGATTGATTTTAATGCAACCGAAGAGAGAGCTCAAAGAAGTTAGGTCGACTAAAATCAAATTTTTGATATTTAAAAAGCGGAATCGTTTGCCCATTTTTTGCCCACCAATTCGTTTTTTAGCCAACCTCCAGTTTTGAAAATATGGAAAGTTGACTTTTTACAATTTTATTTTCACAAGAGAATTGTTTGCCCAGTTTGCCCACCCTTTAGAATATTTAAAAAGTAAAAACTTTAGAAAATATGGAACTTTTAAGTTTTCATAATTTCTTTTAAAGTTATAAATCAATTGCCAAAGGCATTAAGAATTAAAAAAAAATCGTTGCCAACCTCTTAAAAATATGATTTTTTAACAGAAAACGTTTGCCGACGGCTTAAAAATAAAATAAATAAAAAATGACCATGTTTGCCCACCTTTTAAAATTTAAGAATCTCAAAAAATCGTTTGCCCACTTTTTAAAAACATGTTTAAAAAAAAAACGTTTGCCCACCTCTTAAAACTTACTTTTTCCAAAAAAAAAATCGTTTGCCCACCCCTTAAAAATAGAAGAGAGTAACAGATATCACTAGTATAATAAAAGTTATTTGTAACTTACAAATTAAATCACAAAATATAAGACACCGATGGGTTTATATTTTATGTTTGAAACGCTCAATTTCAATTAAGCTTTCCAAAAATTGTAAATCACAAATTTTAGGTCAAGGTATGATATTTATGATCTATTTAAAATATAGATGTTTTCTGCCAAACTAGTGTGTTTTTAAAATATGATGAAGTAAGTTTTTTGATATTACAAAAATGATTTCAGAACCAAAAAACCAAAAGTTTCCTCAAATCAAATTTATAAATTCACCTGTTTTTTACTTTCACCACAACATATGTATCCTGTATCAAAACATTTAGTCTAGTACCAAAACTGTTAGTAAAAAAATCTAATCAATATTATGTGCGGCTAAATTTAGAAGTCTTCTCCCGGTCATTTGAAAATGCCGGGGTATTCCAAAATTGAAAACTTTCATTTCAAATAAGGAAATTTGTTTTGCGTCTTTTTTAAAAATAATTATGTTATCTTAAGTTTTGATTTTTTTTTTAATTAGTAAGTTATTGTGTGCCATAATATGTGTTAAAATATCACTGCAAAAATTGCTTTACTATAAAATATGGAAACTGATATTGATAAAAAAAAAACGAAATCGCATTACTATGTGTTAAAGACAGATAATGATGGATTTATTTAATTAACTTATCTGGGCCGCTTTTCACAATGCGTGCAACAATAAAAACAGCGCAGCAACAATACAAAAACCGGCAGCAATCAAAATTCTTTCGTTTCCTTTTCGCCTCTCTTCGCGCAGCTGCAAGTGAGAGAGCGACCGGGTGCGGTGCGACCAAGAAAGAGAGAGAACAATGCTGTGCTTCTCATTCACAAAACGGAGACGTAAAGCGGTGTGTGAAAAAGAAGAAGAACAACAGGCACAAGATATGATAGATATGAAAAAACAACAAAAGGAACAAGAGGAACGGGTGATGAAAGAGGAGAGCGAGAGCAAAAACAACTTGGCATAAATTGCTGCGTAGTAATTTCAGTCGAGTATTTTTCTTGTTACGTTTTTACTATTACTATTATTTGCTGTTACATACCTATTTGAAACGTTGTTTTTGTGAAGCATTGTTGTTCTAGTTGTTGTTGTGTTACCTCTTGCTTTTTTTAATTTTATTTTGGTATCGATTTCAAAATAGAACAACGCACTTTCCCAGACGCAGGCGTAATTAAATTTTTCTGATGTTTTATTCGCGTGCTTTCTTTTTGCGCCGCAACTTCACAACATGCTGTGTATACATATACAGATGCATATATGTATTTATTATGCGTGTGTGTACACAAATTTTATTTATTTATTTACCGTGAATTTTACACATACGCACACACACACCCGGACATGCCATACACTCTCACCAACACACGAAAATAGCCCGCACTTGTATTTTGTGGAATTTCTTCTATTCAAACTCCATATATCTCACGGCTCTTTTTTTTCGCACTTTTCATTCACTTAATGCGTTAGGCACACAGACATAGTATTAGATGTCGGTAATCCACTGTGACCTCCTATTTACGACGATTTTTCGCAGCAACAAAACATACATCCGCGTGACGTCCGTCCCGTTCGAAAATTTTGCTTGCTTTTTTTTAATGTTTACGAAATTCGTGACGGTGTAGAAGTAGAGATGGCCAAACTTCGATGCCAGAATCGATTCTGATATCGATTTATCGATGTTTTCAAAATATCGATAGGACAGCCGATTTTAAAACCAAATGTTAAGAAATCAAAATGTTCCAAAATTTCTGTTAATAATAATAATTTTCCTAACATTTCTGTAAAAAAAAAATGTTCCTAACAGAAACGGGAATCATGCAAGAACTAACAGAAACTAAGGATTCAATAATACGACATCGAAAACATTTATTATTTCCATTAAGCCTAGAACTCAGATCGACGAAATCCGTACGCCAGCTATGAGAGAGAGCGAGAGGCAGTCAGTGCCTTTTCTCACCACGGTACTCAGATCGACAAAAAAATACCAGGAAATTGCAAAGCGTTGCCAGATTTCTCTGATTGAACGTACGCCGGGCCCCCGGAGTAAAAAATACAAAATTTAATCTTTTGTGGTTGGAGTTGGAAAAACCCAAGAACTCAGCAAAATATACTACAATAATACAAAATATTCCCGATCCCAAACTTCGATCTCAATAAAAAGAATAAACTTCTAACGCTGGCGTAACTGTTCGTCGATCTAATTACTAGGCTTTTGCACACAGTTAACAGCTGCTGTAAACATTATACTGAAACTAATTATGTATATTTTTGATTTATTGGTATGTTCCCGGTTCGGTTAAATATTTTTCAGGTTTGTTCCGATTTATCAATAGTTAGATTAAATTTAAAAGGGTAAATGATGTTGCGTTTACAGTTTATAATAACGTTGACTATGTATTCAAACATGTTCTAAATACAAGTGTCGACACTCATATGTATGGATTAATGGTACAATTGTGTACTTATGCATATTGATTAATGTAACATTTGTGAAAAAGTATACGAGTCCCGAGGGTCAAAGGTGATGAGACCCTAATATCGGTCGTATGGCTTGGAAGCCCCTACTGCACACTTTCCCGAGGAGCACAAGATTGTGGCGCTACTTTTGGGGAATTTCTGGCAGCACTCGGCTTTTCACTCGTTTAACAAGCGCGACATAAAAACTGCAGTATTCGAGCGCTTTTCGCTGAAAAGCGGGCACCCTCGACAACACTTTTCATACACGGAAAATGCGGCGGAATAGGACATTTAGCGGAAAACTGATTTTTTTGTGGCCGTGTGTCCATTTTGCGGTTTGTCAGATATTTGGGCGCTTTCTAGTCTCTTCTGCAAGGCGAATGGCGGGACGGGGCACTTATTTCTGAATCCTGATGGTATTCAGTTGAGCTTTTGGTTAGCATATATCTACACTAAATAATAAAATTTTTTTAAAAAAAAGGGATCAACATTAACTTTTGGAACCCCTGTAACTTCCGTAGAACTTTGAATTTATCAAAACAGGCCCAAATATATTTTTGTTGTTGTTGTGAACCCAAAAAGTCCAAAAGCTCCGTGAAAATCGGACCTTCAAGTTTTATGTGGGCCCACTTGGCAGATTTTCACTCATATAGAAGTTGGATGATCTCAAAAGCTATAGAGAGACTAGATAGAAAACGTAATAGCGTAAATTTTCTTTACTCAGAGAGAGCGAGAGGCAAATAACCGGCGGAAATAAATAACACCCCGGTAGTCAGATCGACGTACGCCAGGATGGAGTTGGTAGGGCATCGTATGTATGCATATGTCTGATCAAAAAATGATGTGCGTCCAATTAGCGATGGGCGGTTAGCGACAAAAACGGAATGGTGGAAATCGGAACACGGAATCGTTTTTAATTTTCAAATATTTTTGTAAACAGGAAGACGATTTGAAAAAATTAAATTGCAAACATGTTAATAGAGAAACTACTGTTCGACCAGTATTAATTCTTACAAGTATTGAAGAAATACATTAAAAAAATTGGCAAAAATCTTCTTTTTTAAATATCTTAAACAATTTGTGCGCATATACGGGTTATACCACAAGATAGAGCCCTATTTCAAGATTCATGCCAAAAAACTTTCATAAAATAGCACCCTATGTTTTTGAGAAAATAGCTTAACAGTGGATAATAGACAGGTCGGCGGCTCTATACAAAAAAAGTTTGCAAAACTGTTTTTGTTTCATAAACGTAATTTTCTGGGAACCGTAGGGTTTTTTAAATAAAATATTCGCCAAATTACTAAGAAAAATCAGCACTACAATGCTGTATACCTCAATATGTTGCACAATTCAAAAAAAGTTAGCGACGAAATTGGGTAACGGCTGCATACAGTCGCCAATACAGAAATCAAATTTTTCGAATACGAAGGATTTTGTATTTGGAGACGAGTGTTTGTAACCCTGGCTACCTAGCCGCCAGTACAGAAACGCAATTTTTCGAAATAAAAGTTGGCGTCCTGCATATTACACTAAATCTTTCAAAAACTGTTTAGTGATTTTCTTAAAAACAGGATTTTTTCATGAAACTTGGCCCACACTTACTTCAATATGCCCCACCCTTATGCTGGTATACTCGGTATATCTGCACAAATTCTTATAATTCTGCCATTCGCAATTGACCGATATGCAGACAATCAGGATAGACGGACATGGCTATATCGACTCTCGTATTGATCCTGATCAAGAATATGTATGGTTTATGGGGTCGGAAAAGTCTCCTTCACTTCGTTACAAACTTCTCAATTAAATTACAATACAATTATATACAAGGGTATAATTAACAAGAAAGGAAGAAAACTTCAGCAAGCCGAAGTTCACATACCCTTGCAGCTATTGCAAAAATTAAATATTTTTGAAAACATTAAAATTATGATTTACTTGCGTGTATGTTTAAAAACATTGAAGCTATGATGATTTGCAGCTCAATTGTTCGTTTTTCGATTTTGATAAAATTAAAGGCGTAATTCTGAACTTTCAAATTATTAATAAGTGAAAAAGAATTAAAAAAAAATTACAAAATAGAAAAGTTAAATTACAAATATTTTTTTTATTTCATATTTTTATGGTTTCTATGGAAGCTATATGGTATAGTCGTCCGATTTTGATGAAATTTAAACCGTAATTCTGAAACTAACCAATACTATATGTCGAAGAACTAAAAAAAATTAAAAAAAGCAAAGTTATAATTTTTTTTTATTTATTTTTTCGATTGTTCCTATGGGAGCTATATGCTATAGTCGTCCGATCCGGCCTATATACTACCTGCAATAGAAAGACAACTTTTGGGAAAGTTTCATGCAGATAGCTTTAAAACTTTATAGGGTGGGAAACGTCTCCTTAACTGTGTTGCAAACTTCTGACTGAAATTATAATACCCTCTGCAAGGGTATAAAAAAGTTTCCCTAATATTAAAACATTGTAGATCTAATTATGACTTGCGTGAGCTTTCAAATTATTATGTTCTGACTATAATGGACTTTATCATTATTGACACATTGTGTCACATTGTGTCAAGATTCGGAGGAAACTAGTATATTTAAAATTGGTGATTTTTTTTTTAGTTAATAGTTTTGACACCCAGGCTAGGCTGTTTGAAGACGACATTGAAACAATAATTTTGGTTTTAAAACTTTTTTTGTTTCTTTAAATTGTTCTTTGTTTTTCAAATCTTTATTTTATCCTTTTTGTGTGTTTGTTATTGGAAAAAAACGAAAAGTACCTAACAAAATGTGTTTTTCTTTAAAAAATTATACGTACAATTGTACAGAGGTTTCGGGTTCTTGTGGTTCTTCTCTTTTATTTGTTGATTTTATACAGTTTAATGATTTGCATTGGTTTGTTTAGTTAAATATATTACTTCTAAGCAAAGTTTAAATAATTATTTATGTACTTGTAGTTGACTCTGTTAAGTTGTATGTTGTTTGTTTTGTGGGATGATTTGGCTTTTATAAATAAACTGTTATTGGGCCCATGTGTGTGTGTGTTTATAGTTTAAATTTTATAACAATAACAAATTATTATACATAGTTATAGTTTTAATAATAGTAATTAAAAATCAATCGATTAATTCAAGCAGATTAACAGAATGGCAGAAGAAATTTCTTGTTGCATGCTAAACTAAAACAGGAGAGAAGGGGATATGTGTGGGGGGGGGGAGTATAGGGTCAAGGTCGGGGGCCCTGGTATAGTGTTCTCTTCTTTCATTCTGCTCCGTTTGAGTTTAAAACGTCTTCGATATTTTTTTTACAATTTTAAATTGATTTTCTTTTTATTGGAGTTTAATTTTATGATGATTGGGATTACAGCTATTTTGTTTTCTAATTAAAATTGATTTGTGTATTAGTTTTAGTTTTTACTAATTTACAGACTGTTGAAGCGCAAATAAGTTGATTGATAAGAGGGAAGAATTTGCATTTGTGTGTTATACCCATTTTTTTTTTACATCATATTCCTGATTCTTCTTTTGCTTCTCGTTTGTTTTGTTATGGGGCTAAAATTTAAATTTGCTTATAAAATCTGGCTCTTCTTCTGTTCTCTTATGAGGCTGAGTTTACGTAAAGTAGATTTTGTGTTTTTGTTTTGTTTTGTTTCGCTTAAATTAGTTTGGGTTATAAATTTAAATATAGATATTTTTACGCTTAAAACTTTACACACAACTTAGTTTCATTAAGTTTTGCTGATTTGCTTTTTTTGTGTTTTGCTTTTGGATTTTTTTTTGTTTGTTTGTTTGTGGTTTTTGCAATCAAATAATTTAATAATTTGTAATTTGCTGGTTTTTGTTTGATTTTTTTTTTGTTTTTCCATTTGTATATAATTTTAAATTATAAACACCCCCAGTTTCCCAATGTTGTAGATATATGCGTGTATGAGAGTGTGTTTGGTGGACGTCTCCTCTTAGGGTCCATAGCCATCCGAACCAAAGTCGAAAAGCCGATCGATGCCCTCATTTGCGTTTAGCGCATACGGATAGTCGTTATCGTCCGGTGGATTGATGGACACAAAAGCAATGTCGTTGTTGAAGTCTGTAAATAAAAATGCAACACGTTACTTGGTATTTACGCAATGTTTCATTGAGTTTTTGGGCATATGACTGTTAATGGTTTTGGTTTTACATTTTTGAATTATTGTCGATTTTATTTTTTGCCGTGGACAAACATAGAAGAGGAAGAGAGAGCTGATAGAGCGAGAGATGTTGTGGATGCATGTTTGAAATTCACGCCAGAGCTGAATCTCATGGTGCTACAGAATTTCAATTTCAAAATGAACAATTGGCCCTGGAGCGGTCAGTGTTGTCAGTGCAGACCCACGAGAATTCAGTTCCAAAATGAATTTGACACGAGGACGATTGCTGACGAGGCGACGGGTAATATGTCGATGTTTATACAAGTATATACATTTATGCACTATAGTTTTTGCATTTTTTCATTATATTATTAGTAAATGGTTAGTATGTTGACGTCAGCACATGAAATGAGTGAATGTTTGGTATGATGTTATGATATATTAAATGTTAAATAAAGTTAAGGTTATTTTTTTTTTTGTTTTAGTTTCAAGAATATTTTTGTTATATTCGAGGTGCCACAGAAATCATATCAGCTTTATTGTTTATCGATTTCAAATTGTGTTGCCACAGACTAGAGCTCTTAAACGATACTAATGAATTTGCATATAAGCTATTTCAGGCGCTATTGATAACTTTACAGCAACAACTAAACAATTTAAAACTGTATGTTTTTGCGTTTTACCGTTAATTTTATTTATTTTATTCATATCATGGATAATTTATAACTCGGTTTTTTGTAATATATCAAACAAGAAAGGAAGCAAACTTCGGCAAGCCGAAGTTTATATACCCTAGCTGCTTTTACAAAAATTAAATATTCTTTAAAAAATCTAATTTTTGACTTATGTATGTATATGTTTTCATTTATTTTTTAATATACCGATTGTTCCCATGGAAGGTATCGTTGTTCCGTTTTAATCAAATTTAAATCGTAATTCTGATAAATTAACCATTATTTTTAAGAGCAAAAAAAAAACTACAAATATAAAAAGTTATAACCTATTTTCTTGTTTTTTCTAATGTACTACCTAAAACAGAAAGTTGAAATAGTTTCATGCAATCTGAGAGACTTCTATGTGTAGAAACGGACGGAGGGACAGACGGACATGGCTAGATCGACCCTCCAAGTTATGCTGATCAAGAATATATATACTCCTTCACTGCGTTGCAAACTTTTGACTGAATTTATAATACTTGGTACACAAAGTTATTTCTGCAAGTAATGTTAATGCTGAGATTTTATTGGTTTTTCTTGAAAAAAAACTAGACAACTATTGATGTTTTTACAGGTACGAAATTTAAACAATTGTGCAGGACCGGATTGGCTTTTTGAAGATTAGGTAAAAATTTCTGTGACACCCCTGAAAAAACCCAGAATGAATAATGCAACTAAAATACAAAATTAAATTGTCAATTTTGAACTGATTCTCGTTGGCCGAAATGTAGCAATATAAAAATAATATGTAAAAGAAAAATTGTAAGAATTTGGAATTCGTAAGTTTGTTAAATTTATGTACCATTCCATTATCTTTGGTTTATGTTGCTTAAAGGATTTTACACTCAGCAAGAACTCAGACTGTGATGCGGCTTTTGGATACACGCAGGTCACAGAGAAAGTTCTTGACAAGTGCTCCTCATTGTTAACTAGGTTCAGTCCATGTAAGAACTATAGTTAGATGTTAACTTCGGTTATTTACATAACGACGACACAAAATCTCAGGCGAATACGAAATGATCATGGATTAATGGCGGCGGGCGATTACAAGTGCAATCAAATTTAATTTTATTTACAGTTGTGGTAAAAATAATAGTTGTCAAAAGGAATAAACAAAAATTGTCACATGGGTAATTCTCTACTGTCGAATGCGACATTCGTACGCACTAAAAAAAACAAGCTCCAAATGTTTGTATTATTTTTACAAAAAGCTATTATTTTAGCTCTTGATAAGCACTCAAATTGGTACTAAGCTGAGTTTGGGCAATTGTTGGCTTTCAGGATATTAACAAAAATCTGAGAATCTAAATCTAAAAAGCTTGCGAATGTTAGCTACGCAAACAGAAATGACTTTATTAAAAACCAGTTCAAGCACTGATTTCAGCAAAACGTGATCGAAGATTTAAAATTAATTTTAAAATGTTATAAATTGATCGTTCTTAATAAAGATTTTCGTTTGACCTTAAAATATTAAATAGTTTTTTTTAATTGGATTTTTTAATAGACATTTTAAGCGACATTTTCTTGCATCATACTTTTTATGTTGTTTTTGTGCTTTTGAAGTAATTAGAATTTCAATTATTTACATTAAAGGAAAAAAAAATATATATATATATTCCTTGCACATCCTTCCATTTTTCTTTTAACTTTACTTTTAATGACAAACTTTAAATTTGTGTAGATGGCATAAATTAAATTGCAACTCCATTAATGTTGTTTTGCCTCCATTGTCATCTTTCATCTGCTTTAAAAAATATATATAAAAACAAAATATGTGCTCATTGGTCTAAAACTTTAGATGCAATGACCACATATGCTATTTGGCATTTTTTTTATATTCTTTGAATATAAACCAAGATTTGAAAGCGCCCATATTAACGCAAAACAACTTTCTTTAAAAAAAAGTACAAAAACGAAAAACCAAACCTGCAATAGAAATGTTCAAGACAGAACTTTCGCACTTGTTCGACTTTGCATCGAAATATTTCAAAATGTGTTAAGAGTAAATCGAAAATTGGCTTTCGTTAGTTAGTTTTAAATATATGTGAATAGAACATATATATATGGACTTTGATGCGGTTGACCTTTCTGGAGAATTACCCATATATTGATCATAAATTTAAATTTAAGTTATTTTAATTTTTAGGACAACCATAAAAAGGCAAAAAAAAAACGTTTTGCTCTGCCAAAACTTATAATAAATGCGAAAATACAACTATTTCAATTCGTTTAAACATGTACAACTATTTTTTTGACCGCTGGAAGGGCAGAACACAGGACACAGTTGGCCACAAATACTTACAGTCCGAGCCAATGTCGCTGAAGAGCGCATCGAGGCCCTGGAGCGTGACGTTGCTGCTGTTGCTATTGGCATCGCAGTCGGCCACGCTGGGCGGCAGGCTGTGGCGGCCATGGCTGAATGGTTGATGGATATGAGCGTTGGCGCCAGCGCCAGCGATGCTGCCAAAGCCGCCGTCAACGCTGCTGATGCTGTTGTTGCTGTTGTTGTTGTCTGCTACGGCAGCGAATTGCGCCTGCAGCGAACTAATCGCCGATGATTGCGTTACTGTTGCCGCTCGAGGTGTTGCAGCTGATGCTTCAGATGTTGTGGTTGCGTCTTCCATTGCACAATTATACATGGGCACATCGCTGCGTCGCTGGCTGCTGCCGTAACTTATTGTGGATGGTTGGGAATTACTGTTGCTGTGGTTCCCGTGGTTGCTGTTACTGTTGTTATGACTATTAAGCGTAGTGTTTGCTGCTGCTGCTGCTGCTGTTGTTGCTGTTGCACTGCCTGCGGCAATGGCCGCGGCAGCTGCCGCCCGACGCCGCTTTGTGGGCGTGGGGGGCGAGGATTCTGTTAAGCTGCTAAACAGCTCCTGGATGGAGGTCTGCTGGTGCTGCTGCTGCTGCTGCTGCTGCTGCTGGAAATGATGGCTACGAACCACCGGATTCGTCAGCGTAGGCACCAGCTGACTGAGCTCCGTGTCCACATCGTCCTCCTCCGGCTGCTGAAGCATCTGTTGATGCTGCTGCTGCTGCTGCTGGTTGAGTTGATGAGGCTGGACTATCGCAATATCACAAATGTTATTATATTCAGGATGGGACTGCTTGGCGACTTCCTCGATCGATTTACTGAGGTTACGGGCCGAGCGGTAGGGTTGGGCAACTGTAATTAAGAACAAAAATAAATAAAAAATCAATAATCCTTTTTATTTTCTTAATATAGTTTGTTTGTTTTTTTTTTTTCAAAATGGCATTAATTTTTGACAAATTCAAAGAAGAAAGTCTACAACTCACCTAATCCCTTGGTACTCAGGGCATCAATGTTGTTGAAGAGCGGATCGTTGGTCGGCGGATGCAGTCGGGTGGAGGTGGCCGTTCGAACGCATCCTGCTCCGGCTGCTCCAACGTAGCCCACGCCCGCTGCAATCGGCGAATTTTCCGGCGAGGTGTCATGGCAGAGGAAGACGTTGATCTCTCCGCTGTTCTCCGCCTTCACGTAAATTTCGCGCGGCAATTTTGTGTTGGGCAGCTACAACATTTAAAAAAAAAAAAAAAAAAGTGATAACCGATTATTAAAAAAATGCAATAGAAAAATACAACAATTAAATAAAGATAAATTGCAAAGTGTAAACTAACTTTTGAGTTGAAGGGGGCGTTAGAAATATTTAAGCGGTCGGCGACCGCTCGTCAGCTAAAGAGAAATGCGAATGAAGCGCGCCTGAGAATGATCAGTTTTTTTTGCCGCTCGCTTATTTTTAGAAAAGATATTTGCTATGAGCTGTTTCTTACCCTCCGTCGTCTTCTTAAATGTTGTTCTTTTTTTTTTTTGGCTTATCTCTTTTGCGTTATTGTAATTTCAGAATCGGCAATGACCGTTGATTAAGTGTTTTTAAAGATACATATATATAAATGTTGGTAAGTTATGATTTCAGCAGTTTTAGGCAAGTTTTACTAGAGTTTTTTTATACAGTCTAAGGCTATCGAAAACATTGGGCGGCGATATAGTTAAAAACAGTACGGCATCTGGAAGGTCAAACAGCGACAGCGGCAATTGGAAAACATTGTTGGACGAGGCCAGAAATGTACTTTATATCAATAAAAAGGTGGCTAAAAGGAGTGGCGAGATGGGCGGGATTCCATTTTACTGCCGTGTCTGCCGCTGCGATGGGTTTCTATAAATAAGCGCCACGTTTAATGGCACGCAGACGCTAAGAAGAAGCACCACTGACAAAAAAAAATAAAAAGAAAAGCTAGCAAAGCTAGCAAAGAAAAGCTCTGAAGTAGAAAAATGTTTTTGGAAACTGCACAATATGGACACAAATATATGACTCGTTAATACATAAATAAAAAATGGGCAAGCCGTCAGTTCCCGATTTATAGAAAAAATCAAAAGGATTTACTATTAAATAAAGTAACTTTCAATGTTTCAAACTGGTTCATTGAACACCTATTTGGCTTGCGTTTCAATTTTTGTACATCTTTAATCTATTTTTTTTATATTTAATAGAATATTATATTAATTTTTATAATATTTTTAGTAAATATCTTGAATTATTAAGGTAAAAAACTCAGTATTCAGCCTTGTAATGCAAAGGAAAACTTTCAGATGTCAACAAAATTTATTTAATTGAATTAAATGTTATTTTCTTTGACTGTATTTTTTCTTGTCTTTTCTCCAAGCATTAACTTAATTTAAGAGGTTCTTGTGGGGGAGTTCGGTCCAAGTCATAATCAGTCATAAGTTTTTTTTTTACTTTTGATGGGCAGCTCGACCAAAATTTCCTAAACTTCCAGATCATTATTTCGCTCTGGATTACCAAACAGCAAAAACTACTCACCACAAGCTTGGCCTCGGGCGGCGCCTTTATCACTATGACGATCTGATCTTTGAAGAGATCCACGTTGAGCAGGTCGTTTTGAGTAACGTAGGCCATTCCCCCGGAATTTTCCACCTCCTGCGAGATCTCGGCAAGGTTGCCGCGCATCTGGTCGATGGCCATGTTGAGCTCGTTCTCCAGCTGCTCCAACCTTTCCGATTCCGCCTCGATGTGCCGCGATCGCTCCTGGCTGACCATCGACTGCCCGCAGCGCCACTGGATGTTGTTCTTCGACTTCTTCTCCAGGATGTTAATGCCTTCAAGCACATTGGTGATGTCGTAGATGCGTCGCTTTTGAACGTGCAACTTATTGGAGGCCTCGTTCAGATCCACCACGCCATCTGGCGACTCTTGCAGCAGGTCCACAAACTTCTTGGTCAGTATGCCCAGCGAAGTGTCTGCCCGATTGCGATCGCCGCTCGACGAACTGGCCACAGAAGCTGCCAACTGCTGCTGCGGCGTCGACAGCACAAAAGAGTGATGAGATGCCGGCTTGGCCACCCGCTCCACCACATCCTCGTCCAGCTCGCCATCCCCCTCGTTGTGCACCTGGTGTTGGCTTTGACGCAACTGCTGGGGCGTGCTGCTGGCCACATGCTTTTGGTACACCACCGTCTGATGGTGCGCGCTCTGTTTGGCCTGCTTCTTCGGGTGGATCTCGTCGCTGACGGCGTGTGGCCGGCGTTTGACCTGCGTTGAGGATGGTGAATTAAATTATTGGAGTTCTTCTACGGTAATTATCATAAACCTATTGCCCTTATTTTAGAATTCAAGTTTTTTTTAATGGAAAATACAAATAATAAAACTCCGCCTTGCTATATATCATATGTTTGAGCAACTTAGTTTAGAAACAATAGTAGAGTTCTTTTGTGCCAGATTCTGAAATGTTACAGCCTATGCACTACACACAGTAAATTCGGTTTATAGCTTAAGCTTAAACCATAGGAAATTTAAAACAAAAATTATAATAAACTGTACACAGAACAATAGAGGTTTAGTTGGCGACATCTGTAGAACTGCATTGCTAAAACTTGACGCTAAAATTATAGCCTACTTTGAAAACATATAAATAAACACATAACAAACTTTCCCGATTAGTAGGCGGTAGAGTGGGCGTGGCCACGTTTCAAAATAAACTTTTGCTGTTGTAAGAACACTTAGAATCTGCATGTCAAATCCTAAATCAGTAGTTTTTATGATTTTCGAGATCTCGACGTTCAAACGGTCGGACAGACGGACATTGCTAGTTCGACTATTGATCCTAATCAAGATTATACATACTTTATAGAGTCCGAACCGCTAGATGTTACATACTTTTCAACGAATACAATATAACACATCCTCCGCTTACACATTTAAGTAACTCTCACATGTCCCTAAGACCTATTTATCATGTGATTTTCACTAAACCGCAACTCACCTTGTAATAATTTGTGATATCGTTTGTCTTGCCGGTCGTCTTGCGTTGCTGCTGATGTTGGTGATGATGCTGCTGCTGCTGCTGCTGCAGTTGATGCTGTGCATGGCCCGCCGTTGCCACTCCCCCCGTGGCGTGCCCCTTGTCCAGACTGATGTAGACATGATCCCGCAGATGGGCTGCCACGCCGCTGTTGCTATTGCTGTTGCTGTTGCTGTCGCTGCTGCTCAAACCGTGATCATAGTCCAGATCGATGGCCTCGTTCTTGATCACAATGTTGTTGTTGATGTTGGTTGTGCCGCCGATCTGGTCGTAGTTGAGTCTGCGGGCGACCATTGTGTGGCCCGTTGCCCCGCCTGCGCCATAGTGTTGCTGGTGTCGCTGGTTGTTGCTGGCGGTGTTGTTGTTGCTGCTACTGCTGTTGCTGTTGCTGTTGTTGATAGGGGCAACATTCACAAAGAACTTGGACATTTCGATGCCGATTCCTCCCTTGATTTTTCGGCGGTGCTCCGCCGTACTCTCTCTCCTTCTCTTTCTGTCTCGATATATATATATAAATATATATATATGTGTATATACTATATATATATACTGTTGATTCTGTTATGTTCGCCTCAGTCGGCTATATATGGTATTAGTTTGTAGCATACTTTTAAGCACTGCCTTCGAAAAGTTGCCACCCAGTCGCAATTTCCAGATCTCGTGTGGTCGACTGCACTGTCTGTGTATCGCTATTTCTCTTGATGTTTTTTTTCGCTTATCAACTAAATTAGCACCTAAAGATTCTTCACATCTGCAAAAAGAAAACAAACGAAAAATAGATAAAGTTAAATTTTGTATTGGGATTTTTATTGGTGATTATTTATAGCTTGTTTGACCTGCTTTCTCAATATTTTATGCATTTGGCACATTACACTTTTGATCCGTCTCTTATTTGTTCCAGTCGGGCGCAACAACAAATTAAAATGCGCCACCGACAAGCGAACGAACGAATGTACATATGTACATACATATGTGGAAATGAAAATAAACGCGAAGCGAAAGGCAAAGGCAAAAGAAAACAATTTCACGACTACAGTAAAAGAATGCTGCAAAAAATACATGGCTGATAGGACAAAAAAAACAGGTAAGTAACCAGTGAGACTACCCGGCATTTTTATGGCCAAAAAAAAAAAAAACCATCGCGTTAATGCAACAATTGTGATGATAGACAGCGAATGCTAACTTTTTCAAGGAGAAACCAATTAAATATTTAGGGCCTTGTAATGTCTTTTAAGGGGGTTAAGTTACATATATTTTTTTTTCTAATGTACACAATTTGAATTGAACAATCTGATTAAAGGTTTAACTAAATTGTAAAGACTTAAACTTGATATAATTAAATGTGTTTAAAAAAAGGCGTATAAATTGCAGCCCAAAAACCACATAAAAAAGATGATAAGCTAAAAAACCATAAGTACAGAAACAAAAACAAAAAAATGGTCAAACGAAAAATTCTAATCTTCAACGAACCGGATTCAACAGATAGGAGAAGGGGCAAGGGGGAAAGGCCCGCTCTGAAGCATGCCGAAACTATTTCTGAACCCAAGGAGAAGACTCGCATAAGTTCGCGCACAAAATGTCAATAAACTCGGCAAAAAAATATTAAGCGATCAATATGTGTGTGGACGAATCAGAAAGCAAAGGCAACAAACGCAAAAAAGAAGGCAAAATATAGAAACAAGAAAAACCAAAACGTAAAAAAGAAAATAACGTTTTTGCCGCGGCCGGCCCGAACCGCTTTTGGCGAAATAAAAGCCACAGACACGGCCAGACTTCTTCTAAACACTGAAAAGAAATCACATATGTATGTACCAACTTTTTATAGATAGAGATTTTACCAAACCAAAATGGAGTTCATTAAAATTTTAACACAATTTGTTGTATGAAGATAGCAATTTTTAAAAAATATTTATTTATTACACACATTGTTTAGTCAATAATAATAGTATATAAAATATTTTTTCCTGAGTGTTCCTGATTCCTCTAATTCCACAAGACGCTCTTAAAGTTCATTAGAGGAATTCTGGCCCCATTCGTGTACAAAGCGAGTATGAATGGAGGGACAACAACAAATTTAAAAGCTCAAATGAGCGTAAAAATAAAAAAAATAACAGGCAGGTAAAACTGGCAATTAGCGCTGCTCGCCCTGCATGAAATGTTATTTGCATAACGCATAACAGAAACTGTTAACCAAACAGCCAACGGTACACTGTTTTTCATCAAATGTACTATCTGAATAGGAAAAAAAAAATTAAGAGTTATAGCGCAAATAAATGTCGGCAAAGTAAACTGAACAGAGACCTCTAAAATGTCACATGGAATTTGCTGATATTTGCAAGAAAATGGAATGGCAAACGCGTCAGGTAGTAAAACCACCGAAGATGGCATTGCACAGTGGCCTCAAATTCCAAAGAAAGGGTTTATTTAAGTTTGCTTATTTTAATAAATATATAAAAAAAATATTAAAGTTATGTCAACGATTAAATGCATGAATATATTTTGTGTTCTTTCGTAAGCCGAAATGAAGCAAATGCGTAAGGGAACTTAAGAATTTTAAATAAAGTTGGAAACCAGGCTAAAAGTTTTATAATATGCTTGTATAACAATATTTAAAATTAAATATTAATGTAAATTTATATAATTGCTTAAGCCGTCTATGTCTCATGGCTGTTGTTATACGTATGTGAGCTAACACAATAAAACAAGGCAATGTAAAATCACATAAGACCTCAAGCCATAGGTTAAACTCAGGTGCAGAAGCGAATTAGTCATAAAGCTAGAGAAGCATTTCTGTGGTTCACGTACCAGGGTTTAAATTGCTGTCTCCGTATGCAAAAACGAAAAGGTGTGCTTTCGCTGATGCTCCGAAATCGAAATTCTATTAATTTGTTACTTTGTCGTTACTTTGCTTTAATACTTTCGTGCATTACAAAAACTATGATTACAGAATGTGAGAATTAAGTTTATTGTTACACCAACTCGACGTAAAGATTTAGAGCATCCTTGTAAATATGGGATCAAACTGGTACCCCAAAAATAACTCATTAGAAATCTTCGTCCATTAAAATTAATATTTAAGGTACTTGTACACACACCTTGCCACACTTCTTGCAGTCTTGCGTTGGCAACAAATGAATTCCCTTTTTCCGTATTCATTTCTACACTAGATAAAGTTTTGCAGTGTTGCTGAAAGCGTGTACAAGTGTGTTGGTGTGTGTTTAAGTTAAAAAAAAAAAACGGTATCCGTTTACAGATGAACGAGCTCAGGTAATTCAAGTCGAATACAATGAAACCGTATACTCTTTCTCTTTCTCCCTTTGAAATAAATGTTAAAATCATGTGGGCCAGACAAAAGGCGAATGCAGAAAGAGAAGAGAGATGGAAAGGGGTACCACACAGAACAGGTACATAGGTCTCGCCGATTGAAATTTCCAATTTAAATTTCTTTTGATCGGCACGCAAAATGCGAACAAGTAGCTGGAAATATTTTGCATCTAAAATTACGGTGAGAAGTATAAAATTACCAAAACAAAAAAAATTTTAAAACGCTATATTCAAAAAACCCGACTGTTAGATGCCTGTTTACTTAGCTATCTTACCAATTTTAGAGCCGCAAAAAGGGATACTTTCGTACTTTAATAAAATGTGGACCATGTTGTGCCATTTATTTATTTTTGCAAATTTTACATTGTCATTTAAAGTTTTAAACAATAAATTGCATCTAAAAGTATTGACACAGGCATCACAGGGTCATCTCATAAATATGGATCGTTTTCCATTTAAAAGGTAATGAAATTAAAATATTTTTGTCAATTTTATACATCAAAATTTATTTTGCGTACTAAGTTTCAGAACACAAAGTTCATAAATAGCAATTGTGATAGACTTTTGATTTCTTTCGAAATTAATATCTTTTTGATTTGCGACAATTCAAAAGTAAACAACCCTAGATCAGCTGTTCGTGTCACTCATTCAGTCACTCAATGGAATCAGGCACATTTAAAAAGTCCACTAATGCGGCTATGCAATCAGGCTATTACTTGAACTCTTGACACAAACACAATTTTGGTTATCAAATTTGGTGACAATTATTTATTTTATAAAAAAAATGAACTATATTTTTATTTAATTAGTTTCTAAATCGGCACGCTGCTTTGGAAATTTTAATTCTCAAGGCTGATTTTACTGCGCAGCTTTGTGCCGATTTAATATTCAAAAACAATTTCTTTTCCACTTTCATCCCAATTTCTCCTAAACTAATTCGACTTTATAAAATTCTTAGTATGCATGTATTATAAAAGTAAAACCTTTTGATTTCTATAACATTTTAAAAAATCGGAATTTTCTTAGTTGATACTCAATTTTGCGGCTACATACATATGTATGTATACACACTTTCCGATGCTCATCGTCACTACGTGGAAGACCGTCCACGGTGATATTTGTAAGCACTACCGCCATCTAAATCGCCAAGAATAAACACGATTTTTGTAACCCTCAAAAGTGGAATCTTGAAGGTAATGTACCTTTATCTGTATACTAACAACTTCTAAGTGCACTTGTTAGTCATCTCTGATACATTTATCTAACAGCAGAAGGCGAAGCAGAAGGCAAAGCAAAAGGAGAAGCAAACAGAGAGAAATAACATTATGCAAACAGGGAAATGAACATGAAAATTCGAAGCGGTGAACGGAAAATCGTGAAAAATGTGGCCTGCACAGCAAATACAATAACAAGTATTTTTTAATTTTTGTTTTTTCCTCTTCCTCTCTATCTTTTCAATCAACATTGGCGCAACAGAGCGGAGCAACAATAAAAAGTAGAATAGCTTTTCCTTGCTTTTGGTTCTCATTGAGTGCCGTTCACTTTTTATGTCTGATAAAGGAAAATGCTAGAAAAGAAATACACATTATGTAGGGGCAAAGTAAATAATTCAGCTGAGGTTTGTCTGGGTGGGAGAGCCAACGAAACGATACAAGGCACGCATTTAAAAAATCACAACTTGACTTATTATTATAACCAGGGAAAAAACAACCATCCAGCACAAATGATTTAAATGTTTACAACACGATAACCTTTCAAAATGTGATTATTCACTGCTAAATGCATTCGATAACTTTTATAATTTGGAAAGAGTGTACATATTCACTTTAGGTTGAATTTAATTAATAAAGTAAATTAATTCAATTAAGCGATGATATGCCCTTTAATAAACAAAAAAGTAAACTTTTTTTGTTTTCAAAAATTTTTTTAAAACAATTTTTAAAACACTCAAGATATCTTTTTTTGTGTCTTTTTCATAAAGATTTAAATATTCCTTTCTTATATTATGCTATAAATATGTACAAAAGATATAAATTAACCTTTGATAATTTTTTCTCTTGAATTAAATCATAATTTTTATATTAGCAATTCAAAAAAAAATTGTTTTTATTAATTTCTTGTACCTCATACACATTATTTCCAAATGCACTTAATTGCTAGCAATTGATTAAAAAGCATACATATGTATGTACTTACATAAATAGCATTCCCCATTACCGTTATTAATTATGTAGTTCGTGCATTTACATGGTTATTAATTATGCATTTTGTTATTCATGCAGACACACAACCTCACACAAGCGCAAGCACAAGGAAACATACACACATACATACATACATATGTACATAGAACCGCTTATAAAAGGTTTCGCTTTCTTTTTGCACATTATTTTGCATGCGCAGTGGAAAGGCACGGGACAAGTGAAATAAATACAAATAAATACTGTGCGAGTGTGCAAGGTGTTAAGCAACAACAATTGCAATTGAGAAAAAAAGTGAAGCAAAAGCAAAACAAGAGGAAGAACACGAATTTTGTGTATTAAGCGGCAGTTGAGAGAGAGAGTCACCACTGTATGTGTGGGATGCTGTTGGGAAAGAGAGCAAAAGCCGGCCCGAATCCGAGTAACAGCTGTTACTCACAGACACAATCCACATGGAACTTTTCCTTGTTGTTGTTGGCTGAGAAAAGAAAGGTCTACATGGTTGCGTTTTTTTCGTTTTTTTTTTGTTATTAGGTAATACTCTAGTTTTGGGTCCACGACCTTTATTTCACAAAAAAAAAAGTTTATGTCAACCATGGTTCTGTTGCAATCGAAATTTAAATATTCTGTTTCACTGTAAAAAGCATTGGTACAAAAGTACACTGAAACAAAATAAAATAGGCGTCGCATCAGTTTTTTCATTTGAGAAATCCAAAAATAATTGCCAACTGGCTGAGAAATGAGAAAGAGAAGGCAGCTTTATCCAGGGAGAGGCGCACAAAATGCGTCGCAAAAAAATTTCGCCCACAGAAAACTGAAAACAAAAAGAAAAACCGGGAAAGGGAGCAGTTGTAGAAATTCAATGCCGGCACGCCAGGAATGTTCCGGGAAGTCCCCCTTATTTATATACGAAATACATACGTAATGTATAAAACTTCATTTCACTTGGTCACTCAAATTTGATAGATGACGCATTTAGAGTCAATCAATGTGTACTCAAAAGACCTGATAACAGGGGCCGTATATAATGTACATAAATGCATATGTATGTATGTATGTATGTACATATCTATACCATATTGAGCAGCTGCTAAGTACGTGCTCAAATTAAACCGGAAAAGAGTGGGATCAAACACGGTTAAATTGGTTTAAAAATCCTAAGAGTAAAAACCAATTAGAGCTTTATTAAATATTAAAAAACCACCAAAAATAAGTCAAACAACCAAAAAATTAATCTTGTGAAAGGGTAACAAGGGTGAACCGGCAGATGTCAGAGATGTATGATGAAAAATTAAACATACAACAGTGAATGAATGGTTTAAGTCTTAGAAACCACCAAATTAAAAAGAAACCTAAACAATGTTAAGTACAACGGTGGTTTGTTTAGCATATTTTAATGTTACAAAATGTTTAAAAGAATGACCTATTTGTCATGAATTGGTTTAAATTCGTATATTAACCACGTCAACACGAAAAAGAAATGATATTTACTTTGATCTTGAAGTGTAAAGAGAAATAATATAGTTTAAACCTTTTATTTATATAATTTCATTTCATAAAAGATATCGTTATTGTTAATTATGTAAATTGATTTTACCACATATTAGAAAACATTATAAGTACATATTAAGTTTTAAGAAAAACACGCGTTGCCTCTAAGTACATAGAAACTTTTGTCTGCAGCGCTTTTGTAAATCTAGTAAATAAATTAATTAAGGGGCGCCATAAAGAAATCGCCGCCGAGTTTGGGCCATCAAAAATTGAAACTCAACTAATGGGCAGCAACGAATTGGATTCGTTATCTCTCAAAAGTGGAGCATGAGGGATTGAATGAGTGACTACTTTTCACTGTAGTTTTGGAGGTTATTTGGAGGCTTAAAGCGGATCCCCAAAATAAATGATTTATAGATCATCGGTGTTGTTTGAATACGCACCTAAGTATTGGAAATTTTGTCGCCTTTTTTTTTTACATGCTATCTATATATCACTCGAACAACGAATTGCTCTTTTCCACCGCCGTCTACTACTTGCTCTTTGAATATCACACACGTTTCATATTTGCAATTTCTTTCTTCTTTTGCGGGTGTTTTGCCTTTCTTCGTTTACTTTTGTTTCCACGTATTATATACTGCTGCTTTTAGCTCGTCGACTCAGTCTGTTGGTGTGTTGTGTGTGTGGGAACTTTTAACTTCACTACGCGACGTTTCTCTTTTATATTATTCTCTATATATTCTACGATTCTGTGCGTGACGTCAGCAGTTCGAGCATTTGTTGTAGATATCACATTGTTGTTGCACGCGCGCACTTTTTAGCTGATTTTCTGTACGTTCTTAGCGGTTTTGGAGCCTTTTATAGTTGCAGTCTTTTCGGTCTTGTGTTTTCCCTCTTAGTTTTCCATTTTCACATTTTTGCGGACTGAAACTGAACTTCTTGGGCCACAACTTAAACGCAAAATGAGTGTGTGTGTTGGTTGTGCCGCGTCTTTTTTGGAGTAGCGACGTCGCCGGCAAAAACGCAATCCACACGCGGAGCAAGAGAATCGGAGAGAGACAGACAGAGAGAGAGAGAGAGAGTTAGGGCAGGGAGTCGCCTTACGTCAAACGGAGAAAACGTAAGCACCGACGCAATCGCACTTTTTATTACTACCAAACTTTTGATTATTATTATTGGGTTAAGCTATATTTACTTATTTATACCTCAGTCTTTTACTGTTTTCAGTTAGCTTTTCTTCTATTTTATCGCATTTTGTTTGACGATTTTACCCAGCGACCGCTCGTAACGTGTTTTTCTGTCGCACATGTGTGTGTGCGGGCGGCAGCGGCAACAGCAGCGACGTCACGACGCGACAACAACGAGCGAACGAATGCGGCGAATCAGAGAAAATACCGAGGAGCTACAAAACATACGTCGACTCTTGCTGCGGCGAATTCGCGGCGGCAGCAGCTGAGCGCCGATGACACTGAGAGAGTGGAACGTGGGTTGAGCTTCCAAAAGGGAAGCGAGTGCAGACTGATTGTACGATAGGTTATCAAATCAAAACGTAAAAAATGTGTAATCATTGTTTAAATTTTGTATTATTTAACAAAGGGTTAAAAAATCAATCGTCCAATAGAGACATTTATTAAGAATCGGTTAATTAATGTTTACCACTTTAAACATACAGTACGTATGTTGACATTTTTAATAATTGTAAGTTTCCCAATTTTTCTGAAACCAAAAAAAAAGAGTAAATGTCCCCGCATAGGAAATGTTTATTTTTATTCACCTTCCCCAGTTATCCAATACTACATACCACGATTTTATACTACTACACCATTTTTTTCCCCTTACACACGGAAACTTAAAAATGAGAAAAACCTTGCTTATTGCAGCGAATTAGCGGCATCAGCTGAGAGGGATTATGAGAGGGCAGAAAGCGAAAGCGCAAGAGAGTGGAGCTTGAGTGGGGCTGCTTTGTCTCTTTCCCATGTGGCATGTGGAAGCCAGACTCAAGTGTTTGGGGAGAGCGGCTTTTGGCCCCATCCCTTTTTCCACTCTCTCGCTTGCGGCTACACTACAAATCGGCTAAAAATCGCTCAGACGGAAGTGGCCGACAGAGGGGGTGGCATGGCCCCTCATCCACTTCTCCTACATCATCTTTATCTTTATCAGTTGTATGCCAAGTGTTGCATTGCATTGCAGTGACGACATTGTTGTAGTTGCAGCGCTGCAGCGTTGCTGATTTTCAGACCATATCAAGAGGTCATTTTTTAAGGCCGGAAATGACATTTTTGGCACCATTTAAAATTCGTTCAATTCAATACTACTTTTTATTTGATCAGTACATTTTTTAAATGTTTAGGAGCTAAATTCTAAACTAATTCACACAGGACTTTTTTTTTTATATAATTTTGTCATTACAGGTTAATCTTCTTCTCCAAAAAAAATCACAAGATTTTTTCTTTTATACCTAACAATCAATTTAGTTTCATTTACTGCTGTCGATAATAAAAATGAAGTATCAATGTCAAAATACTGAAATTAATCAGACAAAAAGAAAAAAAATTTTATATTTAATTTTTAAAAGTAATTAAAATTGTAAATATTGTAAATATATGTATATAATCTTGAGGAGAGTCCATGTTCGCCTGTAGGTTCCACTGTATTGCACAATTGAAAAGCGAATTCGATGTTTTTAAATAAATAATCCCAACAAATATTTTAAATCAATAAACCGTTTATGTAATCAGAGTTTGTACTCATAAATTAGCACAAGTCGCTCCCGTTTTGTGTATAACCGCAATCTGTTTAAATATTTAGTAGGGTAAATGTTATATAGGAAAAACAAAGAAGACCACTGGAAAGTTGGTTGAGATAGTCGCTTACATTCTTCATAGTTCTTCCTATATAGGATAACATATTTTAAGACCCCAACAGTTGTACACATTTTGTTTTCCACCATATTGACTGCTGCCTGTAGGATACACCCTAACTTTGTTGGCGATTACTCAGAAGCTTTATTCCTTGATTGACGACAGCAGCAATAAGTCTGCAAAGTGAACGGAATTCTTTTCGGGCTGGACCATTTTTTAGAGCGCCTTCTCTTATACATAGCCCAAAATGTAATCTCCTTTCCAGTTTTCAATTGCTTTTATCCTTTTTTTTTAGACATTTTTTTTGGGATTAATTTAGTTTTTTGTGCCTTGGGACTAACATTTGGGTTTCTTGAGTAAGGAGGCGCAGACACTTACAGATCCGTGAGTGTGATTTTTTTCGTATTTCTCATAAACCAGACCAGACAACAAGAAGAAGAGGACAAGGGCGAATCACCCCTCACGGCCGCATAGAAGTGAAGTTTGGCCTTCCACATCCATACTCTTCAGCATATGCAATTAGAGTAGTCTATGTTTGATTTTTTCCTCCCGTTTTTTTGCAAGATGTTTTTTTTTTTTTGCCATACAGCAGAGAGAAAAAAGGGAACTTCCCACGATCCTTGGGTGGACTCTGGTACTTGGGAAGACATTTTATGTGCGCAGTGTCATAAATACTTTTAATTAACTGGAAATGCGTGTGCGAGTGCCTGGTTTTTTTCGCCGATCGTGAGTATCTCTGTATCCGTTGTATGCTCACTCCAGAACCTTAAAGAGGGGCGTGAGTGTTCTGGGGCGTATTTACCATAATTTGCTTGATTTTTTTCCGTATGTCATATCATAAACTTTTACGGATGGGCAAAGGGAAAGAGAGAGTGAGAGAGGGGGTGGAAGACAAAGCACTGGCATAGATACGTTTAACACAAGGGCTGAGCACATATTTGAGCAGATGTTTTTGTTTGGGCTTAGATCAATGAACTCATTGCCTAAAATTTAACTTAGACACTTGCAACTTTTCCACAACGATTGCGAGTAACATAAGGTGGAAAGATATTTTTATTGGGGGGCTTTAACGCCTTAGAAATTTCATTGAAATTATCGAAATAAATAAAACATTTTTATGCTATAGACATATAAAATCATTTTTAGAAGCATTTTTTAAGCTAACGTTTTTAATACAAATCATGGTTAGTTAAATTCGGTTAAAGAAAAAGTTTCGGCTGTACTTCTGGTTTTCTGATTACGAATAAATAGGACAAAGTTTGCGAAAAAAACGATTTCTTGGAAAATAGCTGTAAAAACGGTTGCTTCTGGTTTTTTGGCAATTTCTCGCAAATTCGGCAAGTCGAAGTTCATTTAACTTTGTAGCTACTGCAAATATGAAATATTCTTGAACACACTTAAGTTTTGATTTATTTGCACATGTTATTAAAAGCATATAAGCTATGTAGATAGAATTAAAGCATAAGCAAATAAAACCAATATTGAAATTTCAAAAATTTACACTGTAAACTGATTTTAAGTCTAAGAAAAGTAAAATTTTATCAAGCTTCAAGCGTTAGATATGCGAAAACCGTAGAGATGATAGCGATAGTTTTGTAAAATATCGATAAGAGTTTAGTAATGGCACACCGATCTAATTCATTGTGCGTTCTTTTTAAAATTACGATTTGAAGGCAAAAGTTTTCTGCATTTTTCTTGTAAACTATAAGCTTTATTGACCAAGTATAAAAAATCAAGAGACATTTGAGTTGTTCCACGAAAAGTTTTTTACTGATACTCTTCATCCACTCCTGTTCATAAATATATTAAATATTGGCTTATTTCAAAACCAGACGTATTTAGCCGACAGCGTTTCGAATCTGTCACCCCCGATGAAACTGCGTCAATCGTGCATCATGCTCCTCGTCAACCTCGTCATCCTTCTTTTATCCTTCCCTGCTCCTTTGGCCATCACATCCCTGCCATTTCTACCTCATCAAACTCAGAGCAGCAACCCCTTTTCCTTTGGAGGTACGCCGCCACCCCCTTTTCTACCAGGAAGCCAGACATATGGGAAATGAACGAGAGTTGTCGGCGGATAAGGGAAAAACAAGAAGAGGAAACCACGTCTCCGGCATGGAATGCAATCAGCAAGCAAACTACTTGAGAGTCTCAAGCCGCGGCGCGATATTCATATTCGAAAATAAAAGTGAAACAAAAAGGGGGAGGTGGACAGGAAGGAAGGTGGAACGACGCGACTGTTGAAGTTGACGTCGAAGTCGCCGCCTGTTTGACGGAATGTCAGTCAGAGGTGTAGAGCCACGGGGTGAAGTTTTTAATTCAGAGGCAGCAGCTTTTAAAATACACTTGGATAAACCAAACACTAAATAAATTTCTTTTTTTTTTTACTATATATAGGAACACTGTAGTCGAGTGCCGACTATTTGACATCCGATAATCAGCTAACCAATTTCAAAATAAATATGTTCACTGTAAAAATTGGGTTTAGATGGCGCCATTTGCCAAAAAATGTACATTTATGCTAATAATTTCTAATTGAGCCGAGAGATATTGACCGAATAAACATATACAGCTTAACTGGCATATACCATAACTCAGAGTAACATAACAGACTTTCGCGCGTTGTAGCCATATATTAAAACAAACTTAATAAAAATGTTAATATTTGTTAAGAATCTTCCTTTAAGTACTAACAAATATATTTTAATAATGTACATTTTATAAATAAACCTTTTCATGTCACGGCTTCAGTTTTCTTAGGGAAATATTTATAAAATCCTTTATACTGACACTAAAAATGTGTACTGATCATTGAACAAAGTATATTAAGGTCTGGGCTTCCTTGAACAATTGTTATTTTTCCATGCCAATAAAAAGATATATGTATGTAGAATTTCTCAATGTTTTGATTCTTAGTTTATCTACTTTTCCCCACCAGTTTGGCTGCGGGAAACATTTATTAAAAATCTCGATACACATGCTGGATTTTCTACAAAATTGATTTTGCCGTAAGCGCCTTCCTCTTTCTTTTTCACTTTCCCTGTTTCGAACGAATTTTTCTCCCCACAACATCTATGTTTCATACTTTGCACAAATTGAACATTAATTCGATTTTTATGTTAATTATTTTTACAGACTTTGCGTGTGGGATTAATACGATTATGAGTCAGTTGAAATTTATTATTTTTGTTATAAGGGATTCCTTTTATAGCTTGAAGGTATACATATATGTATAATTTACTATCTAACTATTTTATTATTCAGTTAGATCATATACCCTCTTTCAGTTGCACAAAAACACAACGACTACTATCAACATTAAGACGTGCGACACCACCGGAACATCTCTCCCAATTGAAGCTCCATGTGTGAGAAAGAGAGAAATACCTAAGTGGACTACCTGAGCTCAATCTGTGTGAGTACGATATCAACTCACAGATACTCTGAAATGCACACACTAATTTAACAACCTATATGGTTACACATTCTCGGCTTTG